ACTCAGAGCTATGCAAAACTTGCGGTATCCCTCCTTCTCACTGTTCTTGCACACACAGCTACTGCGTGAACTGTACTATTGATACACACACATCATCCGATCCCGCATTCCCTACCTTTCTTAAGCACAAAGCAGTTAACAAAGCCAAAGCCGTAAATCGATGCACAACAAGACAGGCATGGAAACTTTATAGCTCCAACCCAACAGCATACAATATTCAACCCTATAATAAAAACCCAATGCTATCTTTAGCACAAGTTGTCTCCGACACCACTAATACACAAACAACAACACCAACCAAAATGCAAAGCAAAGAAACGATCACAGCACCGAAGCAAACAAACACCCACAACAACGAATCATCCGTCACACACAATAAACACACACATACCAACAATAGCCAGCCAACAAATACAATCCACTCCAACATAAAAAGCAAAACAATAACATCAAATATAAAAGAAACCATAAAAAATAGTCAAACAGCAACAATTTCAAAAAATAATACAAAATCAACAACTTCCTCCCCGAAATCGCGAAGAAGAATCTATTCGCCACAAGCATCGACCAGCATTAACTCGTCACCAGAAAGAGACTTTCGCACCCCACCTAGCGCCTCTCAAGCAGTTAGTGATATCGAAATGACTCCATGTAGTCAAGTATTCTCCAAATATCCCGACCTCAATGTCCTACTCACACCAAAAACTTACAAACAGACTCTGCCGAACCAAAAACAAAATCAGTAACCCAACAACCACCCCAAAAACAAACCATTAAAGTCTATTTTTTAATATAATGGTATCTGTTAAATAAAAGACTCCAACGATGTCCTCTAGAAATCACACGTTTATTGCTGCAGATATTGTCGCAAAAGAGACCGTATACAAGCTGGTTTCGCGCTTATATAGCAAAATGAATATTACAAAAAAACCGTACTAATGCAAATGGATTCTTGGCAAACAATAGAAATGTCAAAGTAGATACATAGTTATCGATAAGCTAGGGTAGCCATAGAGTACAAGTTTGATAGTTAAGAAAACATTACAATGAGTTCACACTTAACTCTAAACATCCTGCCCGGTCGAGTCGGCTGACTCGAAATCATCTTGTTCAAGCAGGCAGCATAGCTTTTGAACGGCTCGGGTGATGCATCCACTCGCAGTGTTCAAAGTGACATTTCGGACGGCCCCGTCGTCTCCGTGATGCACTGCCACCACACGACCAAGACGCCACTGGGTTGGTGGTAGATTCTCATGCCGCACCAACACCACATCGTTGACTCGGATATCCGTGACCCGTCGCTGCCACTTATTGCGCCTCTGGAGCGTGATCAAATACTCGGAGCTCCAACGCTGCCAAAACTCCTGGTGGACTTGTCGTACCCACTGCCACTGCTTCAAGCGATTGGTGGGAATCTCGCGATTGTCTGGCTCCGGCACAGCTAAAAGCGGTGCTCCGATGAGAAAGTCCCCTGGTGTCAATGCAAACTTCTCGTCTGGGTCATCGTACAGTGGAGTGATCGGACGAGAATTGAGACACGCTTCTATACGCGCGGCCAGGGTCTGCAATTGGGTGTACCACATTGTCTGAGAACCCACACAGCGGACCAGATGATGCTTGGCAGACTTAACCGCAGCCTCCCAGAGACCACCCTGGTGTGGTGCACTAGGAGTGATGAAATGCCACTGGGTGCCCATGCTCGCTAACGATCGTTGATTGTTCTCATTGTTCCATGCCGCCACGTCTTCCTGAAGCAGTCGATTCGCACCCACAAATGCCGTGCCGTTATCGCTGTATAAGTCGCGGCAAGGACCCCGCCGACTGGTAAAGCGTGTAAAAGCGTCGAGGAAGGCTTGCGCAGACAGATCATCCACCACCTCGATGTGAACGGCTCTAGTCGCCATGCATACAAAAATAGCCAAGTATGTCTTCACGAGAGTGCGAGAGCGTTTTGTGCCAACACGTAGAGTGAAAGGGCCACAATAATCTACCCCAGCGGATACAAATGGTCTTGCAGGTTTAACTCGCTGCCCGGGTAACGAAGCCATTTGCTGCTTGAGGAGCACCCCTCGGTGACGTCGACATACGACGCAGTGGTGTACAAAGGACTTGACAGCTTGTCTTGCGTTTAAAATCCAGAAACGGCGACGAAGTGTATGCAGCGTCAGCTGTGCTCCTCCATGTAGCGTTGTTTCATGAGCTTGTCGGATTAAGAGGTGCACGAGAGGACTGGATCTCGGCAAGATCATCGGGAGTCGCTGGTCGTGCTCAACTTCCGCCTTGTGGAGACGACCTCCAACACGTAGGATCAGGTGCTCATCTAAGAAGGGATTTAATGAGAGAATCTTACTTGAAGATGACAAACCTGAGCTGGCCTTCAGCTGCTTAATTTCGGACGCGAAATTACTTGCTTGCTCCAACCGGATCAAAATGTCAAGCGCATCATCTAACTCCCGTGCACTTACAACAGGTTGACGAAAGTGTCGACGTCTCGGTAACCATCGTAGCAGGACGGCCACCGTCCTTAGTAACGGCTGCATGGAACTGAAGCGTTCAGTCAACGAGATGACATAGCCATCTCGCCTGCGCGTTTCCAATGGTCGGACCAGATGCACTCCGACCAGGCACGATACTGTTCGCTCCTCAGCGTGAAGTACCTTGGACTCGTCCGGGCTGAGAGGTATGTCCGTACTATATAGCGCGGAGCTATCTAGCTCACCGGGTCCGTGCCACCAAAGTGGGTGATGTAGCAGCTCTTGCGGTGTTATGCCCCTGCTAGCACAATCAGCGGGATTCTGCGCCGAACGAATGTGACGCCATCGATCTGGAGATGTCAACTCTTGAATCCTGCGAACACGGTTTGATATAAATTGTTTCAAGGTTGATGGTTGCTTCTTAAGCCAGCATAATGCAATTGCAGAGTCCGACCACAGAAAGTAGGGAGCTTCGGACAAGCTCAGGACCGATTGCACATGCCGGAGGGTTTCTGCTAACAACACTGCTGCCGAGAGTTCAAGTCGTGGTATGGTTGAGCCTTTGAGTGGAGCCACTTTCGTGCGTGCAGTAAGGAGCGAGAGCGGCGTTGCGTGGGAATCGTCTATTGTCCTTATGTAGATCACGGCCGCGTATGCATATGAGCTGGCATCGCAGAACCCATGTAACGTGGTCCGGCCATGTCGCACCATACCCAACCACCGCTCGATTCGAACTTGATTCAGAGCCTTAAGCTTGGAACGATACCTCAGCCATTCCTCACGAAGGTCGTCAGGTAATGGAGTGTCCCAAGACAACCCCACAGACCACATCTTCTGAATGAAAACCTTCCCCGTTATTACTACGGGGGACAGCAAACCAGTAGGATCGAAGAGTCGAGCGACTTCCCTGAGCACGCTTCTCTTGGTAGGAACATCTATGGTCGGCTCAACCTCAACGCGATAGAACAACTCATCAGTCACCGAATCCCATTTAAGGCCCAGGACCGAAGTCTCGCCGGAGTTGAATGTATAACTGGAAATAGAGGCGTTACTCGACAAACACATCGTTACCTGATTATCGTTTGAGTTCCATTTGCTCAGCGTAAACTTTCCCGCAGATAGAATAGCATCTACACTCCTCGCCAGTTCTATTCCTTCACTGGCATTCGCACAGCTTGTCAAAAAGTCATCAACATAGAACGACGTCAAGATTGCATCTCGAGCAAGAGCCGCCTGATTCTCGTCTCGAATTACACTGCAGTTATAGACCGCACACTGTTGAAGGGCACGTACGGCGTTGTAAGGGCTGCTCGCCATCCCATAAGTGACTGTCTTCAAACGATAAACACCGATATTGTCTGCCGGTGACTCTCGCCATATGATCCTCTGGAGATCCTGATGTTCGGAGGTAACCAGCACCTGCCGAAACATCTTCTCAATGTCAGCGGTAATCGCCACTCGGTATCTGCGAAATCGTAACAGTATGTTTACAAGTGAGTCCTGAATGGTTGGGCCCACCAGCTGAACGTCATTGAGGGAAACGCCTGTACTCGTTTGCGCTGACGCGTTGAACACGACTCGAAACTTTCCAACAACCGCATGATGAGGGATGTAGTAGCACCCGTCATGAGAATATGGTGCTTGCACAGGCTCCATATGCCCCAGCGCAGCATACTCACGCATAAACTTCACATAGTTTTCCTGTAGTGTAGGGTCAGCAAGCAGGCGGCGTTCCAGTCGAGTGAACTGCCGCAACGCAAGTGAATAAGAGTCGCCTAGTACCGGCGCGTCCCGCCGCAGTGGTAGATGCACGACGTAGCGCCCGTCCAGGGTACGACGATGTGTGGAGTCAAAGATGTGACCACACTCTTCATCATGAGATTCATAATCAATCGAATCGCCATCCATTCTCCAAAGATTTCGAACCAATTCTTCCAACCGCACTTCATCCTCACCTAGCAACGCGCTGAGTGCGAGCGATGATGACCCATTCGATGTAGAAGAAACAGTTGCTGGGCCAAATACTACCCAGCCAAAGCGGGTACGCTGGGCGAAGGGTTCATCAGGTCGTCCGCCGATAATGTCACCCTCCAATACTTGTCCCCACACATCCGCACCAATAAGAACGTCAATAGTTCCTGGAGTACCAAACCAAATATCCGCCAAGTCCAGTTCCTTTAAGTAGGACCACTGGCGCATGTCCACCTTCATCGCAGGTGTCTGAGAAGTGATAAATGGTATCACCAGAGCTTCAATCTGCATCTCAAATTTAGTAGTTGTAGACTTCAGTGTAAGTATAACACTGCCTTTAGCTTGCGTGTTGACGGCTGCTCCAACACCCTCGATGTTAACACTGCACTTCTGTCGAAATAGCCGTAATGCGTTTGCAAAGCGATCTGTAATTAAGCTAACCTGCGATCCTGGATCGCACAAGATACGAGCCACGCGTTGAACCAATGCCTCTCCATAAGCATATGCCCGTGCTGTCGCTAAAAGAGTTATTGGCTTGGATTGGGCAATAGTGGCTGCTGCAGGGGCTGCTAGTCACAAAGCAGTTGTTGATTTTACTTGACTGGTTCCTTCATTAGACACGTGGGGTGGAGATGGTGAGGCTGGCTGTACAATGGTCGAAGGTTTGTCGCGGCACAAAATGGTGTTGTGCTTGCGGCCACAGCTCCTGCAACCTCCCGATGGACACTGCCTCGAAGAATGTCCACCCCGTAAACAATTGTAGCAAAGCTTCAAATTTCGTATTGCTTCGAACCGCTGCTCTATTGGCATTGCTATGAGTGCAGGACACTTCATAATACGATGACTTCCACGGCACTGTGCGCACTGTCCCACCTCAGCAGCTGCCACGTGCGACTTCACCGAGCGTTGCTGTCGGGGCGGAGGTTCCGCAGAAATGCTATGCGCCCGTCTTTCAAGAAATTTCAGAAGATCTTCTAGTAGAGGTATTTCGTGTGAAGAACATTTCATACACCAGTCCCTTTTCGTAGCAGATGGTAGCTTCGAGACCACAATTGGCACCGATAATGCATCCCATTGATTGACGGGAATCTCCATGACTCGTAATGCGCGCAACATCTCATGCACCGTGTCAACAATAGCTAGTAAGGCCTTCGATGATTCTTCTGCAGCTACTTTGAGGTTAAGGAAGCGTGACACGTGTATTTCAGCAAGCTGTTTCCTGTTGTCGTAGCGCTCCTTCAAGGCCTTCCACACCTCCTCATATCCACCAGAGTATATACCTCCAACTAAGGGTACACTGCTCGCACTGACTGCTTGCCGTAGCTTACCCAACTTATACGCTTCAGGGTAAGTGGACCGATGTACAAGCGTTTCAAAAGCATCTTTGAAAGCCAGCCAGTTACACATGTCTCCATCAAACGCCGGGATAGCAATCGGGTCTAGCTTCAAATCGACTGAAAATCCCTCTAGATTTGTGGTAGGGCCTGTGCGCCCTCCTGTACTGGGAGTGGCACTAATTTGCGCTCGAGAT